GTATTGAATAAATGAGCGTCATGCCGCTTGTTGCACTTGTCACCATATCGACATTTCCCCTTAGCCCAGTGCCAGCATGGTTCGTCAATCTTCTTGGTTTTGTTAGCTGGAGACTGTCCTCTTGGCGTCTTACCACCTCCTTTGCCTGATCCACCACTCTTACTGGCATCAAAGGTCTTTTGATCGTGGCTATATTCACAATCTTTTCCTTTCTTGCAAGATTTCTTGAGGAAGTGGAAGTGACAAGGAATCTTCTTCTTCTCGCGAGGACTTGCACTTCGGCTCTTCGACTTTCCTTTTCTTCCTTGCCCTTTTCCTTTGGCATGTTGCTTCGGCTGAGGTGATGGTAGTACAGGAGCAGCATCAGATTTTGCTTTGGGCTTCGGAGTCGCTTTCTCCTTGGCAGTTGCCTTTGCTTTCGCTTTGGCGTTGGCGTCAGGAGGAGCTGGAGCAGTGGGAGTAGGCGCAGTCGGCCTTCCTCCGCCAGCAAAGTCTCTGGCATACTTCTCCCTGGCTGCGACGTGCTTGTCTTCTCTGATCCTGGCAATGTGACGCTCGATCACGTTGATGAGATACTGATATGTTCTCCTTGGATCTCCTTCCATCCATGATTCATATTACTTTATATCGTACATCATCAAGTTGGAGTTCCTGATCTTCTTGTACAATGCATCACGCAACCAATCATCCTGGGGTACGTCCTCAGGCATCATATTGGAGACAATCTCCATCCACTTTTCATAGAACGTTTCAATGTTGGCATCACCCAGGTATCGTGATTGAATGATGTGCTCCATGGTGAATGCAGTTTCACGCTGACCTGGTGTCCTGAAATGTTCCAGAATCATGGCAAGAATTTCTCGCTCCATGACAAAGGTCGCTCTTCGATTGCTGGCTTGGGTCCTCAGTCTCAGCTTGATTGCAACATGTCGAGCTACATCACCAGCTTGTGAAATAACATTCGATAGTGCAATAGAAAGCTTTGCATCAATAGACTGGAACCTTTGCCCACCGCTGTCATTCAGAGCGTCGATGTCAGGGTTCTGTCTGAGTGCCGGTTGTAACCATGCTTCCCATGCGGCTCGATCGCCGTCATTGGCTGCGAGGCATACGCTCTTGATAAGATCAGATTGCCAAACTCCCAAATTTTGATGTTTCGGCCATGGACTGATGTATACCTTGTCAGCTTCTCGTCGTGATATCCTCGGAGGTTCTTCGGCAGTAAAAGCTGTCGTTGATTCAAGGTCGATTGCTGAATCCCTCTGAGATCCTCGAAGAGAAGGCAAACCAGGCGGGTTAGGAGGTCCAGGTGGTCCATTGGGATCAGGTGGCCCGTTCGGGAAGTCTGGATCATCATCACCACTGGGCCTCTTGTAGTCAGGGATACCTGCTCCTTCAGCAACACTTACTCCTTTCCCATCCAAAATCTTCTTGTTGACCTCACGCAGTAGTTCAGATACCCTCTGATTTTCAGAATGCGCAGGTCGTTGATATACTTGCTCTGTACTTGCAGCATTGTTCGACTGAGCCGCCATGTATTCCTTGTTGAGCTCTTCATCAAGTTGTCGAATCCATGCTCGAAGGACATTTGACTCATCATTTGCTGCCTTGACATCACTCTCCAACTTTCCAATGACCATTCTAGATGATAGATCACTGTTAACAATACCTGCAGAGTATGGGAGCATGTTGAGACTCTCTTGGTTCTTGATGGCTGTTTCGGCATCTATGAGGCTCTTTCTCAACTTCGCTATCTCAGAATCTTTCAACATCAATTTCTCATCTCTATCCCTCAACCCACCTAGGTATTCACATGATCGTTCATATTGCTGTGCACCTATGGCTAACTTGAACTTACGTTCGCTTTCAAGCTCAGTTCTGAGGATAGCGACTTCAGATCCGAAGAGGGTCGAAGCATCAGCCAATTCATCCTTCAACCTGAGGTTCACACACATACATTCATCTACTTCTTCAGAAAGATCCTGGGCTCTAACCTGTGCAACCTTGACTTCGGTTTCAAGATGTTGAATTGCAGAATGGTTAGAACCATGGCCGATGGCCATTGGGTTCTCCTGAAGTGATCGTCTCAGTTTCACGTTTCGGTCCTCGATCTCGGTCTTGAGCTCGTTGGTCAAAGCTCGCTCGTTGTCATAGAGCATCTCGTAGTGTTCCATCTTATCTCGAGCATTTGAGCTAAGACTTGATTCGAACCTCAAGTGAGCAATAGCCTCGGCCTCAGTGTTCCTGTAATTGGCGAACCGTTTTACAGTGTCATGCTCCGAGTTTCTATGGCGTAGATCACTTTCAAGTTTGGCATGATTGGCTTCATTGATTTTCTTACGATACTCCCTAGTGATCTGCTCCATGTTACTCTCATACAGTTCGGCCTGCTTACGGGAATGGACAAGCGCTTCACTCAGCATCTGGTTCTCATCATTGAGCTCATTGACCGCAAATGCTTGTCTCTGACTTGTCATCCCCAAGTGAGTGTGTGAGAAGTTTGCCAGTTCAGATTGATTACGATACTCCACTATGGAATTCTCAAGACTTCTCTGCATTTCACTTCCTTCTTGGTACAATGTTTCAGCTACACTCCTAGCAAGGCTACTATCATGTTGCATTTGCTGTAATCGTGATTCAGTGTTCCCAAGTAGTCCTTGAAGGTGATGTACTTCGTCCTTGTACTCTTCCTGGATCTCAAGACCGCGTTCATAGATTCGTCTGGCGCCATGTTCTGCTAATGCACCTCGACGTTCAAGATCTTCAATACGGATCGTTGCACCTTCATCTTCCTTGGAGGCCAACATCAATTCAGCTTGGTATTCAGTTACCTCATTGGTCGAGTACATCAATCGACTGTTGAGGGCATTGATTTCATTGAATACCTGTTGGTTATGTCCGCGAAGATAGTCGGTGAACTTGGTCTCAATGTCCCTAATGACTTGATCCCTTGAAGCAGCGTACATCTCGGATTGTGTCACTTTCTCTCTCAAAGTTTGACATTGTGCTCTAAGCTCTTCAATGATAGCTATTGATTCATTGCTACCACGTGCTTCTGTTGATCTTCTCTTGGCACTAATATCACTTGACTCCCTACCATGTTGGTCCTCGACTGCCCTCGGGGTCCTATGTCCGGTAGGTGTTCTTCTTGGTGATCGACGGCTTCTTCGTGCATTTCCACTACGAGCCACGTCTCGTGCCGATCTTGGAGTACTGGTAGTTGATGCTCTTCGATGTCTAGAAGTCGTCTTCTGCCATCCAGACTTTGTCGTCTTCGTTGATTTGTCCCCACTATCAGCAGTTCCCGGTGAAGATCGTGAAGTACCTTCAGCAGGGGCTGCGGCGTTACCGTCAAAGGTAAACTGCGTCTCTCCACTGTCGCCTTGCATCTTTGCGATGTTGGTGCTGATCGGATGTCACGATCGTTTGCACCCAGCGTTGGCTAACAGCACGCAGGTACTCTGCTTCCGATGGAAGTTAAGAGCCCCTACGGCTGATAACCTGTGAACAGAATAATCCCTGTTCCGGATATGTTATTGCTCGTTTCAGAGTGTCCCGCGTTTGTCTGTTAGCACAACGTTTCAAGGGAGCATAGCGGACAGCGCAGCGTTTGTTTTCCTGTTAGTGGGCACTTGAGCCATGAGGTCATGGCGGTCGTTTGGATTGATACATGACTCGTATTTACAGCTGTATGTCATGTAATGCCCTTACTTAGCTCCCATTTGCAATATATACATACATACATACATATGTATGTATCTATAACATGTAAATATATGTGTATATATATACATACACACACACATATATATATATATAGGAAGTAGATACATAGCACATGTATCTATAACTATAGATAGCACGTAGGTACTTTGAGGGAGTAATGTGTGCTACGCAGGTCGTCTAAAGGGTAGCATGTACCTAGTAAATGGGAGGCTGGTAGTCAAAATCGCCGCAAAAACCTAGCAAATACGAGGCTCAACCTCAGAAATGCTGCCAATAGCTTGCAAATAGAAGGGAAGTCGGGGTGCTACCTGGGGACCCATCCCATTCGGGGGGGGGAGGGGGGGGGACCTCGCGGGCGGAAGACGGGATCATATATATATACATATATATATATATATGTGTGTTATACTGAGAAGGGCCGGTGGATTTCGCTTTCAAAAACCAATCAATCGGAAAACTGAAGCTGAGAACAACAAACACCAGTGAGCTGAGACTCTGGTAGTTGGAACAGTTACAACGATGCATCTTTCCTTTCGACCTCAGCGTGTTTTTCCATCAACTGCGATGCATTGAAAAAACTGGCATGGCAACAAATGGCACCTGACCCATCGTCGCGTGAATTCGCTAGACATTTGTTTTAGCAACCGGAGGAGAAATTGAGACGGCTGAAAACCGTGGCAAAAAATCCACATGCATGCAGCTATATATGTGCTAACTTGAAAACACGAAAGAGCCTCAACACTGCACGCTGTTGTATCATTTTTTCCAGCTGTTGTGGCACCAAGCGGCGCTTCGACTGTCTTGGGGCACTGGAGATGTTCAGAGCTCAAGGCTTTTAAACTTCCATCCTTCGTGGCATGTAAAGTCACGCCCCGGGCGCAGTTCGGGCAGGAAACGGTCACAGAGTCGATCTGGAAGTCCTGCCGCAACTTTAGTTCAACAAGTCGCTTCTGGTTTTTTCGCATATATATTAAAACAAAGTACAACAATTAAAAACATATCAATGTTGCAAACTGTTTTTCAATGTATTTCACACATGCCGACCCACCTAAACTTCCAAAACCACATGCATGGGAAGTGGATCCATGTGCAAACATATTGAATGCAAAAAAAAGATTGAAAAAATCTAAATGGGCAGAGAAGCTTCCACTTGCGAACTTTATGTCTCGAAAAGCGATAAAAAGTGGTCAAAACCGAGACATCCAAAATTACCGCGCAGATTGCATCATATTTTGCAAAAAACACACACTTCATATTTGATGTGTGGGAAGAACCTACCGTGACATCGGCTTGCAGATCTGGCGCTGTCTGGCGCTGCACTCATCTGGCACCCTGAGCCCGTCCTTGGCTGCCAGGACCTGCAAATTGTTGACCGGTGGTTTGTAATCGACACTCACTTGGTCAACCACCACATAGCTTGGGCGAGTGCTGAGCAACGCGCTGGACCAGGAGTGCAGGTGGATGCCCGAGAGAAATACCTTCTCCTTCGGACAGGCTGCAATGGAAAGAAGACCCGAACTCAAGCGACCACTGGCGTTGAGGGCTGCATCCTCTGCAACACGGAAGGTGCTTTTTGAGCAAAGGGCAGAGCACCCACTGTTTTGAAGCTCCACCCCATGGCCACCGATGACATCTTCAAAGAGCATGTGTGACCGATTAAGTAGGTAGAAGCAGCTTGCTGCTAGCACGCTGGAATTGTCGAGAGCTTGGGCATGTTTCACCACCAAAGTAGACTGTTCTGAAACAAGCACTGGACCATCTGCAAGACCTCCGGAGCCTCGAAGTGCAGTGGAGTTGCTGATGGACATCGAACTTCTTTGCAGACGCAAACCAATCACAGCAAAAGCACCACCATATGCCCCCGCATCGGTGCTGAACATGGCCACTGTAGATGCCTCGATCATAACTACTCCTGCAGCAAACCCTCCACCACGCTCCCCTGCTATGGCATCTTGAATGCTAAGGTTGGAACTGCTGATCACGATGCTTTCGGCATAAAAACCTCCTCGGGCAGAAAAACCTCCTCCATCTTGTCCAGCTTTCGCGTTCCGAATGTTCAGTTTTGAGCCGGTGGACACCTTCAAGCCCTTTTCAGCATCAAAACCTCCACCATCTCCTGTTTCAGCGTGGCTGTTGGAAATGTTGACTGTCGATTTCCCAGCTATTTCAACCTCTCCAAAGGCAATGAAACCTCCTCCATGGCTTCCGGCGTTCAAGTTCTCAAGGTTGAGAAATGAGCCGGTGGACACCTTCAAGCCCTTTTCAGCATAAAAACCTCCACCAGTTCCTCCAGCGCGGCTGTTGGAAATGTTGACTGTCGATTTCCCAGCTATTTCAACCTCTCCAAAGGCAATGAAACCACCTCCTCCATTTGGTCCAGCTTTCGCGTTCCGAATGTTCAGTTTTGAGCCGGTGGACACCTTCAAGCCCTTGCGCATGCAGCCTTCTCCATTTCCTTCTCCACGGCCGGCATAGAAACCTCCTCCATACTCTTGCGCAGTCACGGTCTCAAGGTTGAGAAATGAGCCGTTTGTCACCTCCACGTAGCTAAACGTGAAGAATCCCCCGCCTGCGCCATTTTCTGCCTTTGAACGGAAAATGCTAACATTTGACATCCTGTCAATGACAACCTCGTCAGATGTGACGAAACCTCCACCATGCTGCCACGCTGTGGCATCTTGAATGCTAAGGGTGGAACTGCTGATCACGATGCCTTCGGCTTTAAAACCTCCTCCATTTTGTCCAGCTTTCGCGTTCCGAATGTTCAGTTTTGAGCCGGTAATGTTGACTGTCGATTTCCCAGCTATTTCAACCTCTCCAGAGGCAATGAAACCTCCTCCATAAAACCGCGCAGTCACGTTCTCAAGGTTGAGAAATGAGCCGGTGGACACCTTCAAGCCCTTTTCAGCATCAAAACCTCCACCATTTCCTCCAGCGTGGCTGTTGGACATGTTGACTGTCGATTTCCCAGCTATTTCAACCTCTCCAAAGGCATAAAAACCTCCTCCATTTTGTCCAGCTTTCGCGTTCCGAATGTTCAGTTTTGAGCCGGTGGACACCTTCAAGCCCTTTTCAGCATCAAAACCTCCACCATCTCCTGTTTCAGCGTGGCTGTTGGAAATGTTGACTGTCGATTTCCCAGCTATTTCAACCTCTCCAAAGGCAATGAAACCTCCTCCATGGCTTCCGGCGTTCAAGTTCTCAAGGTTGAGAAATGAGCCGGTGGACACCTTCAAGCCCTTTTCAGCATAAAAACCTCCACCATCTCCTGTTTCAGCGTGGCTGTTGGAAATGTTGACTGTCGATTTCCCAGCTATTTCAACCTCTCCAGAGGCAATGAAACCACCTCCTGTCTCGGTGGATCTGGCGTTCTGAATCAAGATCATTGAGTTGTCCTGACCCAGTCAGGAATAGCACAAGGACCAAGGTCTTTGAAAGAAACACTGTAATGGCAACATTCCCCGAAAGTGAGAAAGAATCCTATGGGGTGAATGTCACATGTCGTGAATGAAACTGTTTGCATCCATGTGCACAGCTCCCCAGTATGCAGCGAATGCACTGAGTGCCCGGCAGAAATGTACACGCTTCCCAGGACAAAGAAACCACCACCCGACTGCTTCGCTGAAACGTTTTGGATCACGACTTCAGAGTGGAACACGCTCCTTGGGGGCAGAATGTCATGGCATTGAAGCCGTGAACATCAAAAAAGTCTTGTACGAGAAACAACAAACGACACCTCAAAAGCATAGCGCTTGCAAGGTTTGCCTGCAAATGGCACCACGATACCAAATGATTGTATAGGTGAAACGGGCCGCCTTCGACATCCCCCTCTAAACGCCCGAAAGAATAGCGTCTTAATGCATCTTATCAACCAAAAAGTGGTAATCGTGCTCTTGGCCCAGGTGCCAAAGGAAGCATCAACAACTTGCACATTGCTCTCCACTGTGTTAGAAATTCCTTGAATCTACTCTTGTTCTCTCTTTCATGAAAACCCAATACGGCCTCCGCAATATTGCATGTAAACCACAACTGAATGCCATGGGCGCACCCTTCTGCAATCAATGGCCTTTTCAAACCTTTTCGTTTCAAATGTGATACGCTGTGCTTCTTAGCCAGCCTCCCTATGTCTCCCTCCCTAAGGAGACTGCTGGATGTTCTATAGAGTTCCAATCCATATTTTCGCAACAATCTTGCCTTTGATTCATCTCAAAAACAAGATGAAGCCCACGAACCCGAATGCTCACACGTATGTTAATGGCACAGATGTCACAACACATGGTTATGCAGTCACGCACAATAACTTTCTGCAATAGTTTATTTGAACAGTCTTGTGCATGTTTCCCTTGTTACCAGTCTGCGGGGTGGAGTGGAAAGTGTAGAGTGTAGAGTGTGGAGTGTGGAGTGTGAAGTAAGGAGTGTGGAGTGTAAAGTGTGGAGTGTGGAGTGTAAAGTGAGGAGTGTAAAGTGTAAAGTGTGGAGTGTGGAGTGTAAAGTGAGGAGTGTAAAGTGTGGAGTAAGGAGTGTGGAGTTTGTAAATTGTAGAGTGTAAAGTGAGGAGTGTAAAGTGTGGAGTGAGGAGTGTGGAGTTTGAAAATTGTAGAGTGTGAAGTGTGGATTGTGGAGTGAGGAGTGTAAAGTATAAAGTGTGGAGTGTGGAGTGGAAAGTGTAGAGTGTGGTGTGTAGAGTGTGGAGTGTGGAGTGTAAAGTGTGGAGTGTGGAGTGTAAAGGAGGGGTGTGGACTGTAGTGTGTGGAGTGAGGAATGTAAAGTGTGGAGTGTAAAGTGTAAAGTGTGGAGTGTGGAGTGGAAAGTGTGGAGTGTGAAGTGTGGAGTGTAAAGTAAGGAGTGTGGAGTGTAAAGTGTGGAGTGTGGAGTGAGGAGTGTAAAGTGTGGAGTGTGGAGTGAGGAGTGTAAAGTGTGGAATGTGGAGTGTCAAGTCTCAGGTGAGTGAGGAGTGTAAAGTGCAAAATGTAAAGTGTGGAGTGTAAAGTGTAGAGTGCGGAGCTTCCCCCATAGACACGACGACGCCACAGGAAAACCAGAGACTCGAGACGAGTTGCATGGGTGCAGAAAAACGAACATTTCGTACGAGACTTCCTCCAACTTTGACATTTTCAACACATTATCAAACAAGTTTGGAATGTCACAAAGTGCCACGCCTGCCACGCAAAACGACATGACAACCTGCTTGGACACATTCGAATAGGAGAGGTTTTGCGGCTTCCCCCATAGACACGGCGACGCCACAGGAAAACCAGCGACTCGAGACAAGACATGTGGATGCAGAAAAACCAGCATTTCGTACGAGGCTTCCTCCAATTTTCACAGTGGGCAACATAACAAAAAGACAAGTTTTGCAGCTTCCCCCATAGACACGGCAAGGCCACGGGAAAACCAGAGACGCGAGACGAGACAGGTGGGAGCACCAAAACGAGCATTTCGTGCGAGACCTCCTCCAATTTTCACACTTTGTAGCTTCAAAATCGACGTTTTCCTACGAGTTTTCCTTAGAACGTGAAAATTTGCAACCTCAAAATCGATGTTTCGTGCGAGGCTTCCGTCAATTTTCAGCACATGTCAGAAAATGCCACGCCTGCCACGGAATTTGCACCTTGTCGCCACTTGACGCAGCCCTGCCAATGCGATTTGCAAAAAACCCGCAACATGACACGTCTAAAGTGCTGCGCCTGCCACGAAAAATGGCGATGGACACGTCCAAAGTGCTGCGCCTGCCACGAAAACTGCAACACGTCTTCTGAAAACGTCGCGAAAGTATTGCGCCTGCCACGCAAAACGATTTTCAACACGTTGCAAAACACGTCTGAATGTCACGAAGTGCCACGCCTGCCACGCGAAACGAAGCAACGACACGTCTGAAACCTCCAAAAATGACCACCTCTGCAAAACTTCCTATAGGCACGGCCATACGGCCCTCACGCGAACGGTTGCGAACGGTTGCGAACGGTTGCGGACGGTTGCGGACGGTTGGGCAACGTCGAGCGAACACACCCTCAACCCCCAGACCCCCAGAGTGAAACGGGAACCCTTGCTACGCATTCGGGAAAAATTGTCTTGACCGACTGGAAGTACGGTGCTTTGAAAGGGAGGAGCTCAGAGCCATGGGCCGAGTGTATCCAATACGGCATACACTTGGAGTCTCCGAAGGATGAAAAGTATGTGGCAAAGCACTTGAATCGCCGCTACCAATCGGAGTTCGGCTGCACCGTGACGCTGCAGGGAAGAAGGCAGAACAAGCAAAAGCGACTCTGGTTTGTGGATGCGTCGGATGCACGCAAGTTCCACGTGGCTTCCTTGTACCCCATGAAGAAGCTGACTGACAGCAATGAGCGCTTGCAAGCGCTAGCGGCAGCGGAGAGTCACTTTGACGTCACGCTGCGTGATATGCTTCAGGGCAAACACCGCCCTACAGCGGAGCCGCCGTCCGATGAAGCGACGGGCTCAGTATCTTCTTCTCCCGCTGTTCCTGCATCGGCGTTGTCTCAGCCTGCTTCCTCAGAGGTGCCATGGTTGCGTAGCTCCGGTGCGGCTATGGGAGCTTCTCGACTGCGGCGGCAGAGGCAGAAGCGTCAAGCGCCAACATGGCCGACAAACTAGCCAACACTCCACACTTTACACTCCATACTCCACACTCTACACTTTACACTCCACACTCCGTACTTCACACTCCACACTCCACACTCTACACTTTCCACCCCACACTGCAGACTGGTAACTAGGGAAACATTTGCAAGACTGTTCAAATATAAACTATTGCAGAAAGGTATGGTGCGTGACTGCATAGCCATGTGTTTTGACATCTGTACCATTAACATACGTGTGAGCATTCAGGAAAAACCAGCGACTCGAGACAAGACACGTGGATGCAGAAAAACCAGCATTTCGTACGAGACTTCCTCCACTTTTGACATTTTTGACACATTATCAAACAGGTTGGAATGTCACAAAGTGCCACGCCTGCCACGCAAAACGACAGGACAACTTCCTTGGAAACCTTCGAAAAGGAGAGGTTTTGCGGCTTCCCACATAGACACGGCGACGCCACAGGAAAACCAGCGACTCGAGACGAGACACGTGGGTGCAAAAAAACGAGCATTTCGTACGAGACTTCCGGCAATTTTCAGAGTTGGCATCATGACAAAAAGACAATTTTTGCAGCTTCCCCCATAGACACGGCGAGGCCACGGGAAAACCAGAGACGCGAGACGAGACACATGGGAGCAACACAACGAGCATTTCGTACGAGACTTCCTCCAATTTTCACACTTTGTAGCTTCAAAATCGACGTTTTCCTACGAGTTTTCCTTAGAACCTGAAAATTTGCAACCTCAAAATCGATGTTTCGTGCGAGGCTTCCGTCAATTTTCAGCACATGTCAGAAAATGCCACGCCTGCCACGGAATTTGCACCTTGTCGCCACTTGACGCAGCCCTGCCAATGCGATTTACAAAAAACACGCAACAGGACACGTCTAAAGTGCTGCGCCTGCCACGAAAAATGACGATGGACACGTCCAAAGTGCTGCGCCTGCCACGAAAACTGCAACATATCTTCTGAAAACGTCACAAAAGTATTGCGCTTGCCACGCCAAACGACTTTCGCCACGTTGCAGAACACGTCTGAATGTCACGAAGTGCCACGCCTGCCACGCGAAACGAAGCAACGACACGTCTGAAAACTCCAAAAATGACCACCTCTGCAGAACTTCCCATAGGCACGGCCATATGGACCTACCGCGGACGGTTGCGGACGGTTGCGGACGGTTGCGGACGGTTGGGCAACGTCGAGCGAACACACCCTCAACCCCCAGACCCCCAGAGTGAAACGGGAACCCTTGCTACGCATTCGGGAAAAATGCATCCAATGCAGGAGATACTGACGTGCCAAAGAGAGAAGAAAGAAACAATGCAGAGCAATGCGGCTGACTCCCGCTTCAGAACCAAAATGAACACCTCCCCGCCTCCCCGCTGACACATTCTCACCATGTTGATAAAATGGAACCCCAGACTGAATGCCCCCAATTCAGCTGGACACTGCTTGGACTGCATCCCACGGCATCCCAGAGCCCAATAACATCCAATCACTATATCTGCGCCACGCTATGCCGTCCAGGATCAGGTTTCCGTCGGCTGCGAAGCCACCGCCGATGTCGGCTGCAGCGCCTCTCACCTTCGTTGTATGTTGCAGGTTCCCAACTTCCGGTCCACCCAGTGTTCAACAGCTTACAGACAGATCTTACATGATCGTCAACTGCAATGGAAGCATGCTGCAAGAAGCTCTTGTTTTCAGGACACGGGGGCTGAACGATCTGTCCGCACGGCCCGGGTTAGGCACGGCGGTGAGTCCAAGCGTTGAAGAACTTCTGGAGGATATCGCATTGAAAGGCTGAAAGCTTCTGAGAGTTTTGACACGGTCTTGCAATGGGCGGTTGTGGGTGGGCGTTTGCAAGCCCGTGGAAAAGGCGATCCCACCACGCCCGCCCTTGAAGATAACTGCAGAGGAAATCAAGATGAACAGGTGCATGCTCACAAACCTCGTTTGTTTTTCCATTTCCGTTTTGACAGTTAATTCACTCCGTGAATGCCACCGTCAACTGCAATGGAAGCATGCTGCAAGAAGCTCTTGTTTTCAGGACACGGGGGCTGAACGATCTGTCCTCCCCCATTCTGAAAATTGTGAATTGCCACCGTTGTTCAACTGTGCCAGAACTTCCGAAAGCAAAACCAAAGCACTTGCGCTCACATTGCAGTCTTCACCAAGTAAAGCATGCATCACACCGCGCGAAGGAAAATCGCTCAAATTGCACTCAGTAGGGACGCGTGCAAACCAAGTTCGAGATCCCTTCAAGGCTTCTTGTCTGATATGATATGCCATCAATCTCTGGCCAACTGTTCCTGCTGCTGAAGCTTTAACCAAGGAGAAGCGCACTCCATCGTTGTCGCCGAAGTGCACATTAAGCTCATCGCCATGACTGCCACCCCACAAGTTCAGAGCTATTATGGCAGCTAGTAGTTCCAGCTCATAGATGATGGTCAACTTGTCTTGTGACCCAAAAGAAGTACAAGTGGCAGCATCAAGCGGAAGTCCAAACCAAGCGCACACTTGCGCCTCAGCACTGATGAGTACTCCACCCAAGCCACCTGTACCCAAAGAAGGTTCGTAGCTGGCATCAGTAAAGATAAACCACTGAGAAAAGCTGTTGGCTGAAACCAGTTTTGGGCCATCATGTTGTAGCCGCATCTGCATGGCTTGGAGCGCCACACGAAGCTCTTCATCTATACGGCTGCTCTTGCCGTACGCATGGTCAATCAGTTTCTTAAGTACCAACTTTCCTATTCGCCCATGCATGAAGCTGTCTGCAAAGCCAAGCCTGCCTCTCAGCATGAGACAAGCTTGTTTATCCAAGGTCCCACGCTCCAAAGCCTCAGAGATTTGCCTGACCAGTTCCTCTCTACGTGACTGTGTGTTGGCCACTGCCATCAAGCGTTGCTCTGATCTGCTAAAGTCAAACTCAACGCCAAGAGCCTTGCAATGGTTGGCAAAAGCCGTGGACTTTTTGCCCTCATGCTGTTCTTGGATGATTCACACAACCCCGGCTGGGCAGCAAGTATAAAGTCATCGTAGAAGTTGGTGGTCAGCAAGTAAAGACCCCTGACAGCTAAGGAATAAAGACTTCGGGCCAAGCGCAGAAAGCAATACACGCTGTGAGTCGCCCCAAAGGGCATTGTTTTCATCCTGTAGACTTCAGCACAACCCCTTTTGCAGTTGTAAATGCAAACATAGGCATACTTGTAGTGACTTGGCCTGATTAGCACCTGGCGGTAAGCACTGGTCAAGTCGTAGGTCTTAGCTCTGAGCTCGCTGTCTTTGCCAGCCACCGCACAATGACCAAAGAAGGACTTTACCATCGCACAAAAAGTATCAATGAGATGAAGATCCACCCGATTGTGGGCAATGCAAGAATCATTGACACCGCTTACAGAGAAATCGTCAATCAACCTGGTCTTGGAAGATTGCACCAAAGGAAATCTTCGGGAGATGGTAGCTCCCTCCTCAAGAACAGATAGGTCGATGGGTCCTTCAGCCCATCCTCTCTCAACCTCTAACTCCGTCTCTGCAAGCAACTGAAGGTCTGTCTCCTCTGATCCGGAAGAACAAGTCAGCTGCAGCACCAGCTGATTACGCCGTGTCGCATCGGCCTCCAACTGGGAGATTGTAGCCAAGCAAGGTTTGAACTTCTCCACCTCACCAGCTAAGGTGGCACCTTGTTCAAGCAAAGAGATTGCATCCACATCCTCATAGTTGATGTCCGCCAGCATCTCTCTGGTGAGCAGCAAACGCTTGTTGGATGTCAACTCAGCAACTGCAGCATGTCTCTTGGCTGCCGCCTGCCGTTCCTGAGCTTCCAGCTCATGGGCTCTAGACATCCACTTTCTGCACCACGCAATCCTGTAATTGCTCAACTGCAAATCACTCCATTCCATGTGCTTGCGCACTGCCGCATCAAGTTCTGGTGGTACACCCATGTCCTTCAACGATGGATGTCCGTTGCAACAAGCCTGCTTGATAAACCCTTCACAAGTCCAGGGAAGCCCAAAAGCAACCTCAAAACCTGACTCATCCTCCAACATTGCTACCTCCTCATCCAGACAACGCTTTGAAGACTTCCCCTGATCCTCCCCCCTTGTCTTGGGGGAAGTCAAGGCTGAAAAACGCAAAAAACGACTGTATTTGGGCACTGTTTCAAGTTGTCCACCTTTGGTGCGCAACTTTATGTCTCTGTCTAACTTTTGCATGAGTGAACAAGGCACCTCGAACAGTGTCGTTGCAAGAAAAACTGCCACTGAGCAAAAATCAGAAACTACTGGTGGCAGCCTCGATGGTCGTGGCTGCTGACCTGCAGAAACCATAGCACGCCTGTTGGCGTTCAAGGGATTTGTGTCTTCCTGAAAGCTAAGTGCACGCAATGTCAGGCCATGCTCTGCAGCAAACTGTAGAACTAAGTTGACAAGAGCAATGCACATCTTTGTGGGGTATTGTGACTCCAAACTTGTGGCCCAAACGCGCTTGCCTTCGGCATCCTTTGCAAAACCCCACGTTTGATGCTCGTGGGTATGATCACAACGTATATTAAGGCTCTCAATGGCAGGAAAATTGGCCATTATTCTAGTCCACTTGTCACGGCTTCCACCTAACATGCAGACCTGAAAGTCGCCAAAAAACACTGGAATCTCTTTGAGAATGTGCAGCAGCCAACATGTGAGCCAAAAGTACGAATTCTTTGGGTTCTCCATGGTGACAAGAACCCCAAGTGAAGTGGCTGCAAGAAAAATTTCACACGCATACTGAAAAAGCAAGTTTGCAATCTGAACACGCGTCATGTCATTTTCTCCTAGGTCAGGAAGACCTTCAGGATAATCATTTGAGCGTAGTGGCAAGGGATCTCCATCAAACCGACGGATGTCTCGTGCACGGCTGCCTGTGCCACATACGGGCGCCAAAGGCACCCACAGTAGCATGGGAGATTGCATCCACTGATACAAGAGGGTTCTGTCTTTGCTGTTCAACAGGTCTAACTGGAAAATAGTGCTCCTTGCAGACTTCTTCTTGACTTTGTCAATAGCAATCGAACAAGAGAGGCCAGCCTGTTTGGCCACTGCACACAAAACTGCTGATCCTGCAAAAACTTCAATCATGAAGGCCTGTTCAACATTGATGCCAGTCCAAACCTTGTAATCAATGGATGCAATTTGGCGTCACTTGCCATGATCTTGAAGCGAATGCGAAGCGCCACAACGGGGCTCTGCGCAAATGTGCAATCCTTTCGAGCACCTGCCACCAGGTTTTACTCCTTTCTCACTGCAACCACTGCGACAGTTGAACCCATAGCATATGGGATCTCCACTAGAACTCTTGTGCCATTTGCCACGCAGCTCAGCTGGAATGGGCGGTGATGACTTTCCACCGCTCCGCTTGCCTTTTCCTTTTCCTTTGCCCCCTGGCTGGCTGTAGGGGTGAGGTCTTGTAGTAGATGCTGAAGCTGCACCAGGTGCAGCAGGTGCCGCTGCGGAACTTGACTTGGCAGTGGGCATGAGAAACAATGCAACCAGTGGGTCATGCCTGAGCGCAAGCAATGCTTCACCGAGGGGGTAGGTTCCGTCCTCCCTCTGCCTCACACTGGTAACCTGTGTTGTCAGTCGGCCAAACGCCGCCTTGTCACATTGCAGCAATTGGGCCAATGAAGGCCTGGCAAAGCCTGGTGGAGCTTCACGGTGAAGTGCCTCGAATAGGAAGGTTTCCCACGTCGCATGCTCTGCGTATGACATCAGCTTTGCAAACTGGAAACTGATGCCCCTCCTGACCATTGCATAATGGACTTTGATCTCGCTATCTGTTGGAGATGTAAGCTTGTCCTCACTATGCTTGAGAATCAGCGATCCTTTTTCTAAGGTCAGCTCTTTCGTCTTTGTTGATCCCTGTACTTCAAGTGATCTGGAAATGCATGTCGACAACTCAAGATACTTGATATTGTTGGCCTCAAACATGGCACCGGCCCTGTCTAAAAGACTGTGGGCTGGCTCGTGCTCACCAGAAATGCCTATGCCTCCCAACACCACACGTAGCGCTTCTAAACGGGTGTTTCTCTCAGCAAACGGGATTCTCCTTGGAGTGTCATCTGTTTTGTCAACTGCCTGCCTCAAAGTTGCTGTGAGGTATGTCTGAGCCTCAAACGCTGCCCTCTTCAAAATGGCAATTTCAGTGAGGCTGGGTGCTCTTCCATGGGCTTGTTGTATCAACTGCTCAATGTTTGCATCCAAAATGGGGTGGCCTGGTTGGCCAATTGCAAAGGCCAATTGCGACAACGTCTTGACACCGTGGCGCTTGAGGCTCTCAACCAAAGCCCCTGCAATTCCAGCTTCTCTCAAGTTGCTTTCAAACTGAGCCTGACTATCTATGAGAGAAGACATGGCACCGACGCGCTAAGTGAAAAAGAATGCAAACTGAAACATGTGCAAGTGATCTTATCAGGCGCTTTGCAAACATCTGCCCCAAACCTTAAATGTGAAGGCAATTGTCCTGGTCAGGTCAAGGTGCAAAACACAGAACAGCAGATTGCAAACACTGCACAACAAGAACATGTATGCAACTTCAATGTATCTTCCAACTGAACCCTTCACTTGAAAAAGGGTAAAAACGACTGCAGCGGCTTTCCACTCAAACATGGCTTCCGTCAAATGTGACTCTCAAGTCTAAATGCAGCTCTCTGCAGTGGTGTGCCTTTGCAACTGTGAGTGTGTGGTCCTATGACCGTCAATCTGGCTTTCCAGTGAACATGCAGCTTTCTGCACAGCACTCACACTTTTGCTCTCTCGGACAACGCAACCCTTTGGGCTGTATGTCAACAACCTGCTCCAACTTATGGACCCTTTGGTCCTGATGCTCTTGACCGCTTAAGGTATGCATCCAAACTGTCAGTCATCTGCTCCATTGAGCGAATGCGGTTGTTGTTTCTTGGAAAGCAACGAATGCACTTTGGGTGAACAACGTGAATCTTCCTTGCAAGTTTTTTGAAATTGGCTCCCAACTGAATTATGCAGCTTGCAACACTCTCGCCAATCTTGCAAGAGTGAACTAGTCCACTCTTCACATGCCGGTAGAAATCAACGCCCTCAGGCACAAACTCGACCACTTGTGGTCCTTGAGCTTGCACAACCTCCTCTGAGGAAGAGGTCTCACTTTCAGTCGATGTTGTGCTACTGTCACTACCTGATGAAGACTCAATCTCAACAACACCTGCAGCTACCACCTCTATTGGAAAGAGGGTCAACTCAGCCGCAGCCTGCTCCAATGTCGACTGGTCCAAGTCCTCCTCTTTGACACTCTGAAGCTCCTCCAACTGAAGAGCGCTTGAAACGGCATTGTCCACCGCCTCCTTGTCGACAGTCTCTTGCTGAGGCCCCACTGACTGGGGCAGAGCAACAGGCACAGGTGCCATGGGTGTCCTGGCTGCAGCCACCAGGGTAAATGGCGCCGGCGTGCTGATGATGCCATACTCTTTCATGGCCTCATCTTCGATGTTCAGACCTGCCCGCACCCGTCGAAGCACCAATGCAAGCTTCCTCAAAGCACGTGTCTGCAGCTGTCTGCTATAAACTACTTCAGAGCCACTCACAGCGCTACAATGATGCCCAAGTACTGCTCTGGTCTCTCTATCAAATCCAGCCCTGGCACACCAAATGAGGAGTGTAGCTTTGAGTGAATGACTTCTGAAAGTCTCACTTTCACTGGTCCCCTGAAGCAGGGCTCTCAACCACGTAGCTGCCTCTGGCGTGGTCAGAGGCCTTGCGCAGAAAGACCCATCAATCCTGGGTGCTGGTAGCAATGGCCCCAGCGGTCGCTTGTAAATGTCCAAGCCAACTTGGTGGTATACCTTAAGCCACTCACGCACCCAGTCATCATTGCAAATGCCACTCCATGGAATAACTATGAGTAGATACTGTTCCCTCCGCAAGCCCACTGAAGCAGTCTTGTGTTCAGTGGTGTAAAAGGTGACAAACTCTCCATCTTCCAGCTGCACATGGCTCACAAATCGCATGTCACTCCATCTTGCACGTCCATACAAGCACACCAAAAAGCAACCAGCTCCCAGTTTGTCAATCAAGTTTGAAGAAGTGTGCAACACCTCATGCAAACGCCTAATATGCTCAGGCTGGAGCCCAGGAGCCTGAACTGTAGGGCCCTTTGCCTTGCGTTCCAAGGCCGAGAGGCCTAGCAATCTTCGTGAGCCCAAAATACTGTCAGTGCCTTGCAAATCCAAAGTGAACTTGGCAAAACGCACTGCTTCTAGGAAACTGGATGGCACTGTATATCCTTTGGATTGTGCACTTCTCAGCTGCCGCAATGACAGGAAATATTCCCAAACAACCGGCTCTTCCAGTGGCAAAGGAAAACTGTTCAACTCTTTGCATGCAGATGACTTTTCAAACCAGTTGTAAAACTTTCTGAATACCAAAACATGCTTTCAAAATAGTGCACGCCTCCTGACCTGCACTATCTTTCTGTAAGGCCGCCGCAAGCTGAGGCCCAACACCCGATGCACTCCACTGTACTGAAAGGATGCGCAACCATTGACTGCATGCTAACTCCAACTGCTGAGACTTGTTGTCAAAGTAATTCATATCCTGTATGCTTTTGACAGCATGCACGTACTTTGCATCATCAGGCAGTAGGAAACCCTTCAAATGGTTCTGCAAAGGATCTGAGGTGTCGGCACCAACTGTTCGCTCTGTTTCAGCAATCCCCAAACATTGTGGCAAGGGGTCAGCATCGAAGTTGAAAACAGCAGCCATCGGTCCCTGCTCCCAAGGAAACAAGAGTGACTCAGGTATTTGCCTAAACTGTGCAAAACCATGTGCAACCATTTCATTCCAAGCCTGAGTTGGCACCACAGGTCCGGACATAGGCTGATCTTCCAAAGGCTCTGACAGCTCGTCAGCGTAATTCTCAACAAGCACAACTGAATCTGCACTGCCAATTTCCACAGACTCGTGAACATCAGACCCATGATTGACTTCAGAAACAGGTCCAGGGGGTCCAAACAAGTGTTGCTCCGTTTCAGGTACATCACAAGGCAGATGCTGATCATACTGAGGTGGAGGCCTAAATGGTGCATAGCTGTCCGCAGCTCCAATCAGATCAATGGCACGAAACGGCACCATCTCATCACCAACTGAATCCAGCTGAGGCTCCACTTGTTGACTGTCATCAAAACTGCCATGCTCATGTGTCTCGTTTAAAATGTGGTCAGCATCACTTGCAGAGTACCCAGAACTAGCAACACTCTCAGGTTTAGTCAAGTCCTCGTCAATGTCCTTCTCAACCATGGCATGCGCCCCCCTACCGTTTGCAAGCCCGTGGAAAAAGGCGATCCCACCATGCCCGCCCTTGAAGATAACTGCAGAGGAAATCAAGATGAACAGGTGCATGCTCACAAACCTCGTTTGTTTTTCCATTTCCGTTTTGACAGTTAATTCACTCCGTGAATGCCACCTTACAGTACTCTCAAGTTATCCAATATCCTAGACCATGCAGTTTCAATAATTCCTTTCTGACGCAAGAGATCAAACACCAGATTAAAAACCAAGTCCAAGGAGCTGTCAGACGGGATCTGGTCAAAGTGATTGACCCGTTGCTTAAAAAGGCACCACCATGCGCGTTTGAGTTCGGATCGGATGGACCTTCATGCCACGATTCCACGTGAGCATCTGCAAAGTTCACAGTCCTCAGTTGAATACTTCGTGCAGAGATTCGTGGTCTCACATGGCGCTCTCAACGCTGCCAAAACAAGAAATCCGAACTCCCTTGCAGTTGTCCGTGTGTCTTTCTAACAATCACAAATAGTTTTGAACTCGCTGTGTACAGCGCAAGGTTCTTGGCTTGCAGGCGGAGCGAAGTCATCTGAATTTGCCTTGGGAGCTGTGCCAAGCACTTCTAGACAGCCAACGACAGCCATGCAGGCCCAAAGCAACTGGAATAATGCCTCCCAATCTCCCACCTCACCATTAAACGTATCCAAACAGAATTCCTCCAAGGCACCCGGTGATGTGCAGCTCTCCGGAGGTCAAGGTCAAAATTTTCCCTGCTGCTGGGCGCAGCTGCGCGGGTGCCCCATGGGGCCCCTGCAGCTCGCATGGAGGAGCTGCCACGGTAGGCCTCGGTTTTGGCTCCAAAGTTTCTGCTAAGCCTGAGAGATCTTTTGGAAAAGGTCAGTTGCCCTGAAAAATGCTGAAAGCTTCGGAAATATTTTGGAAAGCAGCGCAACAGGCACCTCTACAAATCCTGGAAATGAGGGATAGCTTCAAGCATGTCTTCAACAGGAACTGTGAGAGACAGAACCATCCGATCCGATGTTCAGTAGTTAATTCAATATACAACATACACGTCGTATCAACCTTTGCCCAACAACGACTTATTTAGCCGCCTGCCTGCAACAAACACGCAAGCATCACAGTCCTCCGACCCCCTGTGACTGAGCCGCTCGAGCTGAAAGCACGACCCGGCCGTCAGCTTTTTCCTTTCACAAAGCTCCGCCCAGCCAATAACTTCACAGTCCTGCAAGCAGTGTCTTTCTGACTTGAGCTGGGAAGATACTCCAACATACTCTAACATCACTAAAAAAACCTGGCATATCATTGCGGTGTAGAAACATCTGATCTAATTGATGTATGAATATGAAAACAATGAACACGACGAAACATCGATTTTCTGTGAACCTCAAGGCCCACCTGCAGATGTCTGGTGCTCGCTCGATCTGCTGGTTGGTGCGCAGGGTTGCTGCCTTTCAGTGGTAATGCGACTTTATAAAAGTCCAAAGAAATTGACAATAGTTTTTGGCCTCATGCGGCACCATGTCTTTTCATCTCACAAAAACATGGGGCGTTGGAGTTGTGTGCCACTTCGCTAAATGATTTCGAAACTGCTCTGCCAAAGATTGGCCGTGGCCACAAATTAGACATCAGGACGGCGTTTGTGAAATACGACGTAACACATCAACTCTAGTTATGTTTCGACGTGTTTTGCAATCTAGAAAAAGGAAGAATCCTTTCTTCCAAAGAAACAGACCGACCAAGACGGGCATCTGGGTAGTTTGCAGCAGCCGAGGGGCTCTCGAGTCCAGTGAACGTGCTCTTGTTCCAGACGCGCAGCTCAGCAAAGGCAAAGACGAAGAAAAACGCCGCCAAGAGCAACTGCATCATGGCGTCACGCGGCATATTGTGAAGTTTTTTGTGGGTGAAGGATGCCATCATCACTGTAGCCAGTGCAACCCAGGCGCTGTGCTCACTGTGCAGTCTGAATGCTGCATCCTATTGAAGACTCTGTCATGGATCATGTCCACGCGCTCATTTGGCTGATTCAGTTGGTGTATATGAGATAACATTGAAGCCAGCAGGTAAAACTAGGCAGGAAAAGGTTGCGATGATGTACCAGCTATGGGTATCGCACAGTGGTCTGCTACAAAACTGTTGGAGTTTCAAGACATTGAGCCGGGCGGCCAGGAAGATGCCTAAGAAGATGCATCGCATCAGTGTCACCACACATTTTCTGTTTGAGGAGTCATTGGCTCAAACACTGCACCACCGCCTCCGCATCGCTGCCCATCAGCTGCTGGGTTGTTTCATTTTCTGCGAAGTGCTATGCTGGGGCCTGAGGGAACCTGCAACACTTCAAGACATTTTCACAGTGGCTGGTTGGTGGTTGCAACCAATGGATTAATGGCCAAGTTTCCTGCAAGTATTTATATATACTTCAAGACACTAAGATAGAAGACATTCAACGATTTTTTCAAATACAAGTTGCCGATTTAGGGGTCGCCCGGAACCATTTCAAATAGAAGTTGGCGCAATCGCACCAGGTTGCTCTTGGACTGCAAATTTACCTGTAAAATCTGTCAAATGTAATCTGGACTGGAATTGTCAAATTCTGTGGTATTTGCGAAGGTTTTACAGTCAAACTGGACAATCCAAGTAAGAGGACCTTGAGGTCTTCGGGAGGACATTGTTGCAACTTTAGGTTTTGGATTGATTTGAAGAAAAACGGCCAAAAACCTCGAAAAAGGTATATAGTTGTTTTGGGATCCCAAAATTTCACAAGAGCTGATCTGGCAAAATTTTCAAATCCATCAACAACCCCCATTTCAAATAGAAGATATTCCAAAATACTAAGCCGCGTGTTGTTGTCTTGAGGGAACTGGACGACGGATGGCCCGAGAGCGTAGAGGAGCAGGGTCTTCTCTTGTTAGTATGGAGACACCATATTACAAAACAATATATTAAAGATGTGTTATAGGCAGTCGAGAAGAGGAGTATCAAGACAATATAGCACAAGTACTAGACAATAGCTTGCATCGCAAACACTTTTACACACAGAAGTTTTTACACACAGACGTTTTTACACACAAAAGTTTTCATGCACAGAAGTTTTTACATACAAACACTTTCACACACAGACGACTTTTACACGCAGACACTTTTACACACACACGCTTTTACACGCAGACACTTTTACACACAAACGCTTTGACACAAAGACACTTTTACACAACAGACTTTTACACTCAGACGGCTTTAGACACAGACGCTTTTACACACAGAGGTTTTTACACACAGAAGATTTTACACACAGAAGCTTTTACACACAGAGGCTTTTACACACAGAAGATTGTACACACAGAATCTTTTACACAGACGCTTTTTACACAAACGCTTTTACACACAGAAGCTTTTACACACAGACACCTTTACAGACAGAAATTTTTACACACAGACGCTTTTACACACAGACACTTTTACACAGAGCACACAGAAGCTTTTAAGCAGACGCTTTTACACAGACGCTTTTACACAGATGTTTTTACACACAGAAGCTTTGACGCACAACACACAGAAGCTTTGTACACACAGAAAAAATCGCAATTTTACCTCAGTTTTTGGCGATCGACCCTCATTTCGTGCGAAAGGGTTGCAACGGGAACCCGGAAATCGCAATTCTACCTCAGTTTTTGACGATCGAACCTCGTTTCGTGCAAAAGGGTTGCGCGGGACGACTTGAACTCGCACTTTTACCTCAGTTTTTGACGATCGAACCTCGTTTCGTGCGAAAGGGTTGCGCGGGACGACTTGAACTCGCAATTTTACCTCAGTTTTTGACGATCGAACCTCGTTTCGTGCAAAAGGGTTGCGGCGGACACCTTGAAATCGCAATTTTACCTCAGTTTTTGGCGATCGAACCTCGTTTCGTGCAAAAGGGTTGCGTTTCGTGCCGTCTCGTTGGCACTGCCCCTGCCCCCGCCTTCAGAAGAGAAATAGAAAAGAAGGAGAGGGCAAGAGGGGCAAGAGGGCAAGAGGGCAAGAGGAGAAGATGTGAAGATGTGAGGATGTGAAGATGTGATGAAGATGTGAAGATGTGAGGATGAGAAGATGTGAGGATGAGAAGATATGAAGAAGAGGGCAAGAGGGCAAGAGGCCAAGAGGCCAAGAGGAGAAGATGTGAAGATGTGAGGATGTGAAGATGTGAGGATGAGAAGATGTGAAGATGGGCAGATGTGAAGATGTGAAGATGTGAAGATGAGCAGATGTGAAGATGAGCAGATGTGAAGATGAGCAGATGTGAAGATGAGCAGATATCTGTGAAGATGAGAAGATGTGAAGATGAGAAGATGTGAAGATGAGAAGATGTGAAGATGAGAAGATGTGAAGATGAGAAGATGTGAAGATGAGCAGATGTGAAGATGAGCAGATGTGAAGATGAGAAGATGTGAAGATGAGAAGATGTGAAGATGAGAAGATGTGAAGATGAGAAGATGTGAAGATGAGAAGCTGTGAAGATGAGAAGATGTGAAGATGAGAAGATGTGAAGTGAGAAGCTGCGAAGATGAGAAGATGTGAAGATGAGAAGATGTGAAGTGAGAAGCTGTGAAGATGAGAAGATGAGAAGATGAGAAGATGAGAGACAGACCCCCACTATTGGAAGAACCCTGCGCTCAGACGCTCTCGGGAAAAAATCATGAATATTTTCTATTTGAAAAATTGCCTCTGCACAACCTGTAAAAAATGCAAAAAACGCTATGCCAATCTGACAATCTACGGCGTCAAGGGTCGAGAAAAAAACGATTTCAATACCCGACCGTCAAAACGCTGGATTTGGAAGCTATGTTTTTTAAAAAAGGGAACGTCTAGGGTGCCGGGGGTTGAGGGAAAAAAATGGTTGTTTTTTCGACAAAACACGTTCATTATCAAGAAGCTGCACTCACTCGCTTCCTTTTTGCAGTTGGGTTTGGTGCGCAGCCGATCTTTAGGCTGTAGGGCTAGGCTGCCGACAGAACTCCTTGGTGGTGAAGGGGTGGAAGGAGGGTCCCCTCCCACCGCTTGAGCGGAACGTTTGCAGCACAGGCGAGCTGCATTTGACTTCAGAATGAATTGTCATACATGACATTTTTTTTCCGACAAAACACGTTCATAATCAAGAAGCTGCACTCACTCGCTTCCTTTTTCCAGTTGGGTTTGGTGCGCAGCCGATCTTCCCCATTTCAGAAAGCTGCGACACCAAATCAAGAAGTAACCTCTCGGCATCTGCAGAGACATCCAATGCGTTGTTTAACAAAGCAGCACTGACATCGCCCCTTGAGGGAGCATCCGCAACATTGCAACCAGAGGGCACTCTTGCAAGCCATGTGAAAGTATGTGTCACTGCTTCAAGTTCCACGAACTTCTCTGCAAGGAAATCCATAACGCTGTTTTCAGAAACTCCACGTAGCAATGAAAATTTTGTACCTTCGTTGTCAACAAACAAAAGGCATCTCCTGTTTGAAAAGCGAGGGGCCCAAAGCTGATATGCTATTACAGCTGCAAGCGTCTCAGCTTCGAAGATGATCTGCTTTTTGTGAAGTTCTCCAAGCGCCTCTCTCACCGTCGCACTGGCTTTCAAGGAAAAGAACTGGGTTTCCTGTTGGAAAAAACATGCCCCACCAAGACCGCAGGGCCAAGCGTTGCAGTCCCTCTCATAGCAAGCGTCCGTGAAGACAACAATGTTGTGCAAATCCAAGCTTTGATTTCCCGGGGCACGCTCTGCTTCAACAGAGTTGCAAACAAACTCAGGAAAAGACAGTCTTTAGGAAGTAGCTTGAAACGCCTCCCTTCTGCAAAGTCACCAAGTGCCCTTAGGCACCTTTTACCTGTTCTGCCCTTCAATTGGGCGTCTGCAAATTGCATACGTCCTTGAAGGCGATGTGCATACTTGCTGCTAAGCGCCCCCGATTCCAACACACCAGCCAAATCGGTGCAAAGCTCCTCAACCCTGCTAGTTTTATTTGTTTTAAGGAAACCGGCAGTTTCTCTTCGAACCCAAAATCTTGGGTTGGAAATTTCCCAAACGAAAAAAGGGCGTGATAGATCATTCTTTCTTCCCTTGAAGAAAAACCTTTCTCTCACTTCTTGCAGTAAATTAAAATTTCGCATTCCGCTCCGTATTCGCCAAACTCGAAAATGAAAAACTAATGCCGCAAAACGAATGTGAACATGTCGCAGTGCAAGAATGACACAAGCAGCCATCTCTTTTTCACAAAGCAGTTGGGGTAGATCCAGGATCCCGTTCTTCGAAACCCCAAGTCTCTGATCCATCTGCCTCCAACCGTTTAAAGAGCCACTCCCAGTCTATTCTTTGCCTGCGCACATTTGAAAGTTCATCAAAGGACATTCTGCTCGGAGCATCAGCTATATTGCTGCTAGTCGGAACTCTGGAGAACCAAACCTTGAGTTGCAGATTCATTTCCGACACAACAAAGGCATGAACCAATCTGGCACCTGAACCTGCATCAGTAGCTCCCTTGATTAAGGCGCCTTTCGCTGCCTCATTATCGAGATAGAAAACACATTGGGTGTTGCTTAGGTATCCTTCCCACAAGGTTAGTGAGATCCATACCGGCAGCAACTCTATTTCAAAGATTGGGTGCGTTGAAGCTGCAAGAAACAATTCCATCCAAGGTCTCGGAATGATTTCCGCAAAGAACTCGCAAGCAATCCCGCACGGGCTGATCAGGACCGCACCTATGGATCCCTCTTTCACAAGTTCTCCTTCACAAGCACCATCTGAAAATACATACCAAGTGTCCAAGCTAGTGGTCCTAATCTTTGTCGGAGGGGCATGAGTGACTCTTTCTTTCAAAATCCGCACTGCAACCAGTTCTTGCATTGACAGCGTT